CTAAAACTTCTCCCAGACAAGCTGTAGAGATGGGTGAAATGCATGAAAAGTTACCTAACGTTGAGGGAAACAATGTAGACGTAAAACAAGCACTCGTACAGAAGTCCAGTGAATCTGAAGATCACGACGTCTCTAAGAAGATATCAGATCTGTCCGATACAGAACAAAGAATAAATGATAACCTACCATCCGGTGAGAGGTTGGGGACAGACAGACAAGCCGAGAGTTCCCAAGAACATGATTCTAAAAAGGACAAACTGAAACCAGTGTCTAGCGAAAGCAATAACTCAACGGAAATTCCCGAATCTCAAACTGCTGAGGACGGAAGAAACGAGCTTGGCTCTCTGTTGCATGGCGATGAAGAGCTGCCTATAGGAAGTGACATTGTTCCGGACACAAAAGGAGACGATGCTGGCACGGGAAAATCTATGAAAACAAATGGGATTGTGAGAAGCGGTACTTTCGTTTTGGACCATAGCGTGGCGCAAGTGCCAGACGATAAAGTAAATGGCGCCAATGAGGAAACAAAAAATACATTATTTGAATATACTGGAAAGACGTTATCAGGCACTGAAACCAATGAAAAAGATCTCATTCCAAAATGGGACGATCTGTCCGTTCCTGATAGCGATAACATGGGTAAAAGTATTACAGTAGAGAAACATAAACCTGGTGAGAACATAACAGTTCCTACGTACACTGTGAATGACTTAAACATCGTGGGTTCAGAAAGTAGCAGAAGTCCAAGGGTCAAATCCAGCCCTTCCCCGGAAGACAACAACCACGCCCACAATAACCCTTCCGGAAATACCAAAACCGGAAACTCTCCAAACAAATTTGTTGATCAGTTAAATCCAGCAGGCAATAGGGGAAAAGAATCTGATGAGAAGTTGGACGTTTTGCCTGTGAGATCCGAGGCTCAGACAGTTGATGAGAAGGTAAATAATGTCTCTCGCATCACAAGGATGGCAGAAGGGCTATAAATCTATTCATTTTTGTAATTGGCCTTTCCCATCCAAAATCTTCCCATAAATTGTTTGGTTATTGTCTACTTATATAAATCGAAGGCTAAGAATGTGACCAGAACATAGCTATGTTTAGGGCTATAATCGTTGAAAGCCTCCTTTCCAGCCCCCGCCCCGAACCGCCCCCTCCCCAACGTCCTTTCTCTTTTCTAGAAAGATGGACAAACTGTTACAAATATAACCAGGGCACAGGTTGCATCCGACATAATATAATTATTATAAGACAGTGTTCAGTCACCACATTCAATGAGCTACTGAACAAACGTAGACTAGTTAAGGACTTCTGAAGCTAAACAATTTAAATTTGAGAACTTTATAAAGATGTAAGTAGCTAGGAAAGATGATAGAAACCTTGTTGGCAAAGATCCTAAAACCTCGTTGGGGAAGATTAAGGGAACGTTACAGTTATTGAGTTACGTGATGAGGTTATTTGTGCAGGGTCTTTTTGGTGTAATGTGCGCTTGAAGTCGTAAGAGAAAGAAGTTTAAAGGAATGCTGTGAGGAACCGAAAGGAATAGAGAAGAAGAGCGAGAGCGAGAGCGAGAGAGAGAGAGAGAGAGAGACAGAGAGAGAGACAGACAGACAGACAGACAGACAGACAGACA